TGCAATAATTGAACATTTTACTAGAAGTACTAGGGAAAAAATACTATAGAAAATTATGAAAAGTACAGAGAAGATAGATTGAATAGAAGTAAAAATAATTTTCATTATTTGGAGACAATTTGATTATGCATAGTGAAAATCCAACAGACTCCACAGGCTAATTTTTAGAACTCAGTTTACCAATATTGCTGAATACAATTTCTTAATACAGAAGTCAGTAGTATTCCTATAAACAAGAATACTGGTAAAATATATATACACATTTTTAAATGATAAATTCATGATAAAAGCAAATTACAAAGCATGGAAATAAATCTAACACAAGGTACGGAAGTTTTTCATAAAGGGACTATAAAGCATTGGAAGGCTTTAAAGAAGAATTGCATTAGATGACTATGGCAGATTCATGTATAAAAAGATCTGTCCCAAGAAGACCAGTGTTTTGTCCATTCATCTGCAGGTTGAATGCAACCTTAGCCATAATTCCAGAAGGTCTTTTATCATTATTTTGACAAAATGATGTTACAGTAATTGCTGATGACTAAATGGCCAAGAATACCCAAGACAATGTTGTGGAAGAATAATGATATCAAATTTACATTAAAGAAAAGATGACAACAGTTCTAACATGATGGCAATTAAAAGAGTGAAGGACTCCCAGCGCCAAGTAATATAAGACACTGAATATAACAGCTTGCTAAAGACCAGCACAGAAATAAATGTATTTTAAAATATGGTAGCATTAAATCCAGTGAAAATTAAGATGTGTTATTAAATAAATGAGGCTTCAGTTGGCTTTTTACCTGGATAAACAAGTATAAATTTAGAGTCCTATAACACAAACTCTTCTTTAGCAAAATTTTAAGTGGATAAAACCCCACAATGTAGGAAAGCATCTTTTTCTCTCAAGTAGGAAGCATATAAAGGAAACATAGAACAACTTCACTTTATTACAGAAAGAAGATCACCTATTTAAAATGTGAAAAATGCTATAAAATAAAAAAGAAGTATCTGCAATAAAATAGTGTCATCATTTAAACATTGATAGATTTAACACAAACGTTCATATTAAGCTTCTCTTGCCATTCAGATGTTAGGTGTACATTTTGACCCCATTTTACTTAACAGCTGATGGGAACAGATGAGGAGTAGCATTTATGTGGGGTTTGGGATCCACAGTGTCCTTTGTCTTGATGATACAGAAGGTGCGTCAGGTACATTTCCCTCCCAATTGCGTTGCCATGTTTCATATAGCAAAGGAGAGACTGAAACATTTTCACACATGTGGCTTACTTTCTTACACCTCTTTTCACTCATAGTTTGTCTGTCTGGTCTTTGTCTCCTGCACTGAAAACTATGATGCCTACTATGGACCCTAACACAACACTTTAAATTCTAAGAGCGGTGGCATGGAGTCACCCTATCTACTACAACTGGAATGCTTTTATGAGGTAAAGTAAGAAGACTGGACTTCCACAAGTGTGGTGGTTTATGGAAGCATGTTTGCAGCATGTTTTGCATGTTTGATTGAAACATGGATATTTATCAAGATAATTTTATCTAAGACTCAGGACTTATCCTATAGATAAGATTTTTCTTACTATCTTATTCTCCATCTCTAAACCACTAGTCTAATTTATTTACATGTGTATTTCCTTGTGGCTGACTTTAGCTCAGCATTCATCTAGGATGACTTTTGTCATGTATGCAAATGGTTCAAATTTCCATTCATCTTCTGCAAACCTTCTGTGTCAGGGTTTCCAAAGTCCAATTGCCCAATTGCCTTTTGCTCTCATTAATCACAGACATGACTTATTGGCATCAGTAAGGACTTTAAGGCCCATCAGTTTCTGCCATATAGCAAGATTCTTGATTCCTACTTATACCACCTTACTGTTTGATAACATTCCTACAATGTTTTGTATTTGATAAGCTATATTGCTTCACTATTTTGCATTGGTGCCAAATTTTTCATTATTTCATCTTTGTAGTGTTTTCTAAAATACCTTGAGGTATTAAAAATAAATGAGCAAACTGCAGAAGATAGTGGAGGAGGAGAAGCGCTGGCATGCTTCAGTGCACAAGTTTGCAGAGAGTCAGACATGGCTTAGTGTCCCAACAACAACAACATAAAAATTACACTGAAAAAATTGCACGTATTTAAGCCTTGAATTTAATACCACTGCCCTGCCTTTCCCTACCCCTACCTTCATCCTGAGGCACAACTGATCTTTCTGTCATTATAGTTTAGCTTTTTTTTTTAATTTTATAAATTGCATCATACAATATATGCTCTTTTGGTCAGGCCTGTTTCACTTTATCGCTCACTGAGCCACCAAGGGCTTCCATGGTGGCTCAGATGGTAAAGTGTCTGCCTACAATGTGGGAGACCTGGATTCAATCCCTGGGTTGAGCAGATCTCCTGGAGAAGGAAATGGCAACCCAGTCCACTATTCTTGCCTGGAAAATCCCTTGAATGGAGGAGCCTGGTAGGCTACAGTCCATGGGGTTGCAAAGAGTCGGACACAACTGAGTGACATCACTTCACTTCTTTCACTCTATGAGACTGATATCTACCCATGCTGTTGTATGCACTGATAGATCTTTCCTTTGCATTTCTGAGTAGTGTTTCTATGTGTTTTGTTTTGTGTTTCTATGTTTGTTTGCTTTTGCAATATCTGGATTTGTATCTAATGTACAGACTAAATTTTATTAAAAAGACAAGTATTTTTAAAGTGATCTTGCCTTTAACATAAGAGGACCTTGCCACAGAAGTATTTTGTCAAATGTCCTCCTGAAATCCAGATATTAACAGGATGAATCTACTTTTTTCTTAGCTAGCATGCTATGACCCATATAGACTTTATATTAGCATACCTTATGTCAGGAAACTAAAATTATTTTCTGATACTATTTTATCTTTTATACATACAGTTAACAAAGATAAACTTATCAGTCTATCTTTTATAGTATTGACTTTTCTGACATCTTGAAGACTGAATCTATATTTTCTGAATACATCACCCATCCAACTTTTTGTAGAATTCTTGAAATTTCATTCAATGTGCTCAACAATCTAATTTGTGAAACAATATTTTTAGGAGAAAAGAAATATTTTCTAAAAATCTGACTTAGCGTATTAATACTTAGAAAACATTTTTTATACTTTTTTGTAGGTTTTCTTAAAATGTGTATAAGACATTTTAATTTATTCAAAACATAAGAATTTGGTTAAAACACATTTTAATAGAAGGAAAACTCATGAACTTTCAAGGAACAATTCAGACCCAAATAGCTTTAATAAAAACTATATTGTAAGTTATAGCTACAATTTTATTTGTTTTTGGATCAAGAATCAGACACCCTCATGACATATCTTCCAGAATTTATAAAATGTGTCTCTAATTATTTTCTTTGTTTTTTTTTTTTGGTTGCCCTGGGCAGTTTGGGGGTCTTAGTTCACTGATCTTGCCAGCAAAAGCACAGAGTCTAACGACTGGACCATCAGGGAATTCCCCTCATTACCTTAAAAATGAATGCAGAATAAACATATTGCTATTTCCATTGGGACAATAAAAATAACTTATAGTCATCATTCAAATAACTGATCTGCAGATCAATATACAATAATTAGTACAAAAATGAATTTGAAAGAAAAACTAATCATGAATTTGCATGTGAAATGCAATTTCCTTTCCAATAAATCTGGCTTAGTCAACAAACCTTGATCAATCAGCTTCCAGAAAATGACACTGCACTAGATTACTGAATGATTATTTTCAGCAAAGAATATAGTATTCAGTACTTTGATATTCAGGATAAGTTGCAATAAGGTAAATCAACACAGCCACATTTGAACATTCTAATGAGGTACTCCGTTAATATGTTGTATATAGTTTACAACCATAAACCACTGAACCTTGGCATACATTGGTTCTGTTGCTTGTCTTTGCTGTCATTACACTGAAGATGACCAAACATCATCTGCCATAAATTACTGAACCTTCATGATCTGACATCATTTAACCTACAAAATTTCACCATCTTTTCAGCCAATACGACCATGTTGATATAATAAACGTGATCCAGGCGAAGTCCTGCTGGCTCCCTGGTGGGATTATTCCATTTCTTCATGTATTTTACTTATTTCATATCAAATGGTATTTGTGAGGATGCCTATCAGTAGACAAGTCAACAAAAATATGCATGTTTTATGATGATTAATCATCTTGATTTAGATTATGTTTAATACATTTTAGTATGACGTTCCAATTTCAGCTGAATCCAACACTATCTGAAATGATGCTAATAAAATAAGACCTGGCTGCTGGACAGCATGCACTACAATGCCAATACCTGTGGTGCTCATCTTTCTTAAAAGCTGCAAAAATTTGTTTCCTACTGTGACATCCAATACACCAAAGAGCCTTCTCTGAAAATCATCCTTTCATTATGTCTTTGTAATTACCGTTTTCTGTCTGATGAATCTTATGCAAGCTGTGATACTCTGAATTATGGATCTAGGAGAGTTACAGGAACATAACTAGCAGCATTTCACTGGGCTGTGTGTATCATCCCTTGCTACACACTCCATCATCTGTAGTCACTTTCAATGAGTTGATCAAAATTCTAACTTATGGAACCTTGTGCTAAGTTTCTCATTTAACAAATGTTGAGCATCCCTGGCAGGTAAGATGTTCTATACAGCAGCACCTGAGAGACATATCTTTTGCCCTTAAAACTTTCATTTTCTGGAAGAAATAGCTCAGCTTTAAATGTCACCTCTGTTTTCATTTTATGGCTTGCAAGTTTTGATTATAGAATTATATTTGGACTGGACATTAGCAGGCAGACATTTTGTTCTACACATATTTAACAAATGAGCCAATACATAATATGAGCTCAAATAAACAGAAAAACACAATGGCATGAAATTACATTCTAGAACACTTTCCAGAAGCATAGATATAAACAAGTACTTCCTTATAGAAATGCAGTACATGAGTGGAAGAAAACAGGTGAACCTTTCTAGACTGCAAAAGGTATTTTTTCAACAAGCACTTACTAAGTGCCAATGCATATTCCACCTACTATACTCAGTGCTGGCTTTGTAGTCTGGTGATATGGATTTAATGTATGAATTATCCTACATTTCTGACATTCAGTCACATCAGATAGTAAAGGAGCACACAGATGTTACTTTCTGTTGGAGAATGCAGTCTCTAACAGAGAAAACTCTGGTCAGGTGAAAATGAAGCAGGACAGAAGGAAGCAGTAGCATTGTCAAGCTTGTCAGATAAATCAGCACTGGCCAGAAAATAGGATGACAGTGTCCTTAGCAGGCTTTGCTCAAAAGTCAGAGACCAGCTGGTCCAGTCATTTTCAACTGTAGCTACAATCCAATCCACTAGAAGGATTTTATGGAGAAAATATGGAGAAAGAAATAGCACCCCATTCTACTATTCTTGCCTGGAGAATCCCATGGACAGAGAAACCTGGTGGGCTGCAGTCCGTGGGGGTCATAGGAGTCAGACATGACTTAGCGACTAAACCATCACCACCGTCTATAAGTAAAAAGTACATCCAAATGAATGAAAACTGTGATATAAATTTGGAATCAATCCATGAAGCATAATAAAAGCTCTATAAATATGAGACAAACATAAAGCTGGCAGAACTCAGGCTAACAGGGCAGGAGAACAAGAATTGCTGACACTTCAGTAGCTGTGCACAGGAGAAGAAATAAAAACAAATGGAAAATCATGAAACCAGATTTCTGTGGGGAGAAACATGAGATGCAGTATGTATATGTGTTTTGTTTTTAATAAGAATTATAGGATGATTTATGGCAAATAGAGGGGGGAAAAGTGGAATCAGTGACAGATTTATTTTCTTGGATTCCAAAATCACTGCAGATGGTGACTGTAGTCATGAAATTAAAAGATGCTTGCTCCTTGGAAGGAAAGCCATGAAAAACCTAGGCAGCCTATTAAAAAGTAGAGACATCACTTTGCTGACAAATGTTCACATGTACAGTCAATACTGTGGTTTTTCCAGGAGTCAGATACAAATATGTGAGAACTGGACTATAAAGAAGGCTGAGCACTGAAGAACTGATACTTTCAAACTGTGGTGTTGGAGAAGACTCTTGAGAGTCCCTTGGACAGCAAGGAGATCAAATCAGTCAATCCTAAAGGAAATCAACCCTGAATATTCATTGGAAGGATTGCTGAAGTTGAAGCTCCAACACTTTGGCCCCCTGATGCAGAAAGCCAACTCACAGGAAAAGACCCTGATGCTGGGAAACATTGAGGCAGGAGGAGAAGGGGGTGACAGAGGATGAGATGGTTAGATAACATCACTGATTCAGTGTATATGAATTGGAGTAAACTGCGGGAGATAGTGGAGGAGAAAGTAACCTGGCATTTGAGGTGGCCAATCTGCAGTCCATTGGGATCACAAAGAGTCACACACAACTTAGCTACTGAACAACAAAAACAAAAACAGAACAATTTAGTTCTTTAAGCTATTTGCACATATAATTTGATCTAAAGGTAAACAAACAGCTCAGAGAAAAATTCCAGGGCAATGTTTCTCAATCTCAGAAGCACTGACATTTGGGGCCAGATCATACTTTGTTGTGGGCGTCCTGTGCCCAGTATGCTGTTTAGCAGGATCCTGAGCCTCCACTGATCAGATGTAAGTAATATCCTGAGATCACTCCATCAACCCAACTAGAGACTTTCTTTAATGTACCAGGGATGGTGTAGGGGCAGCAAAAGTTGCCTCTAACTGGAGACCACTGATCTACATTCATCTCTAGTGTCAACTAACCAAATGAAACTCTATCTTTTGGAGCATAAGAAGACGAAAGAACAGCATATTTAATGTTTATGAACATCACTGTTAATTAGTCAGCATATTGATTTACCAGTATGTAAGTTAGAGGCCATTTCTCATGGCCGTCTGAAAATCTCCAGCAGAAAGAGTGGGGTTTTCCAAGGGTCTTTAACCACTATCCAAAATGACACCCATTGGACTTTATTTGCAAATAGGATACGGGAAAATTTGTGGATACTGGGGAAAAATACATTTTAAGAAATCTATACTCAATTACATAAACGTACACTCTGATGATGATATCATCTAAGAGGTTTCTTAACTATAAGAGTCATTTCTATCCTTACAAAGGAATGGCTTATTAAGAAAAAAAAATGATAGCATAGAAACTTTCTGTTTTCAAAATTATATACTGGGGAGTCATTACTTACCTATGGAATCTGGAGGAAATGAAAATGAATCAGTGGTTGGAAAGTATAGATCTCACTCTCCAGAACCTCTGGGCTGATAGCATCCACTTTCCACAATAGTTAGCCCCTCTCTGACGCGCAGAAGCCTCCTCGTTAAGCTTCTCTTCATGTCCTCAGTATTCACCTGCTTTCCTTTCAGATCCAGAAAGTAACTGTTGCTTGTCTTGGGTTTGGTACTTACTTACTACACTCTACTTCCTCTACCTCTACTGGCCGGCCCAGTGGGTACATAATGCACCTGCCTTTTTATTGGATAACATGTCCACACCTCCAAACTCGATCACCATAATCAATTATTTGGTTACCTTTCAACACTATTTTTTTGTTGTTGTTTTTCAATTATTAGTTGAAACAGTGAGTCACTATATACTACATGCATGGATTACCAGTAAAAAATGGACAAAAGAGAAATTGCATTAATATCCAAAAAGAAGAATATCTATGTTTGAATGTATAAAAACTTAAATTACTCGAAAGTCTTCATAAAATCAATGTTGTCAGAGATAAAATATAAATCATAGCTTAGTCTCACCATTTCCTTAAATGGCAAATTGCAGAAAGTAACATTAACAACTATTCTAGAAGAATAAAACACGCATCCCATTTACTGAAACAAAACTAGTTATTTCTTAAAAGAACATTCATGTGAATTATATTTATTTTTTATGATAATGAAAAAAAGTGGCCTTCTGTCAGTACCCCATCTGCAGTTTTTCTGGACTGCAGGAATTGCTTTCTCCCTTTAAGTGTCAAGTATAAAAACAAAACAAGACTGCTGGTGGGGATGTAAAATGGTATAGATGCCAAGAACAATTTGGTGGTTCTTCAAAAAGCTAAACAGAGTTACCATATGACTCAGCAATTCTATCTTAGGTAGATACATGAGAGAAATGAAAACAATGGTCTAGACAATATTTTATACGTGAATGTTTACCAGGGCATTATTCATAAAGGTGGAAAAAATTCAAATATTCATCCATTGGCAAAGGATTATCACAATGTGACATAGCCAAATCATGGTAAAATTTTGGAACATCAAAAGGAATGAAGTTCTGACCTGTGCTAGAACAAGGATGACCTTAAAGGCATTATGCATTGAGGACTCCAGTCACAGAAGACCATAGACCACAATAGGGGAATCTATATATAGAGACAGCTGGAGAAGCCTGAGTAGAAGAATTGCTTTTAAACTGTGGTGCTGGAGAAGACTCTCCTTGGACGTCAAGGAGATCAAATCAGTCAATCCCCTAAAGGAAATAAACCCTTACTATTCATTGGAAGGGCTGATGATTGGAAGGGCCAATGATCCAACACATTGGCTACCTGACGTGAAGAGCCGACTCATTGGAAAAGACCCTGATGCTGGGAAAGATTGAAGGCAGGAGGAGAAGGGGACGACAGAGGACCAGATGGTTGAATGGCATCACTGACTCAATGGACATGAGTTTGAACAAGTTCCAGGAGAAGGTGAAGGACAGGGAAGCCTGGCGGTGCTGCAGTCCATGGGGTCACAGAGTCGGACATGACTGAGCAACTGAACAGCAACAACAAATATATATATAAAGTAGATGTATGCTATATATAGATAGATAGATAGATAGATAGATAGATAGATAGATAGATAGATGTATGCTTGTTTAGGGCTGAGGGGAGCGAGAGATGGTCGAGTGGGTAATAGAGGGTACAGGATATCTTTTTGAAGCAATTAAAATATTTTCAAATTAACAATGAGTAGTGGGTACATCTATCTGTGAATGTACTAAAAGCCATGGAACCTTGCACTTTAAATAGGTGAATTGTGTGGGATATAAATGATATGACGATAAAGATGTTCAGAGAGAGATTGACGGAGACGGAGAGGATGGGGAGAGAGATCCTAAGCCCCTCTCGCCAGAGCCAAAGTCTTGCTAGCAATGAGAATATTGGGGGCTAGAAGCCACCACCTCCAGATAGTAGAGTGCAACAAGGCTGCTGCTGCGCCTGGTGGCTGACATCATCCCAGACCCAGGGCGCTGTTAACACCCACCACCAGGCTGTGGGATGCGGGTATTCGCGTGCCGTTGGCCGCGCGCTTCCTTTACATCCAGATGCCAACGGTCACCGGAGCCCTGGGCGCTTCACCTGCAGCAGGTCGAGTGGCCTCGGGAACTTCTGGGAGCCGAATCCTCCTTGGGGCCTCCTCTCCTCTGCTGGCTCCTATGGGCAGCTACCTGAGCATGTCGGAGCCTGTGGCCCCGGCTGGCCCCGCCCAAAGCGCTGGGTTATGGCGTCAAGCCTGGAGCTCTCCGCAGATGCCGAGGGACCGGAGCCCCTCCTCGGAGGGTGACCCCCAGACTGTGGAAGCGCTTTCCCGCCAAGCCGCCCCTGGAGGCCGTCCTGGTGCCAGCTGTTCCTGGCCCCCAGGATAATGACATGAAACGGAGACACTCAAGTGCCCAGCACCCCTCAGGAACCTGGAGCCCTGGGACAGTCAAAATCACGCCCCCTGAGTGCAGGCTAGCCCCTGTGCATCCTGGAGGCTTGCACCCGCCGAGGAGAGCCCAGATCCCTCTGCCAAGGAGACGGCGCTGCGGGCACTCCACCTTGGCAAGAAGGGGAAAGGCTGTTTGACAGACCACTCTGGTTTGAGATCTCCGAAACCAGGTCATCTGCCTTCAAGCCCCTGATCAAAAAAGGAGAGTTTCCTTGCTTTGTTCCCAGGCCAGGGCCTCTGGACAGAAGTCTCCCCTCCTGGAACTGCAATATCAGCGAGGAGGAGGCTGACCCCTGGCTTCAGGTCCAGCGTTGGGCTTCTGCCACCCAGCCTGCGGCAGGGACCGCATCGGCACAGGGCACAGAAGTTCAGCTGGAAGGCGGGGAGAAGATGTAGCGCTTCCGGGGCCCCGCATGGTCCTCCAGGGCACAAGAGCAAGCCAGGAGAGCCTCATTCAGCCCAGAGGACGCCTGGCCTGCCCGCTCCTGTTGCTCCTGGGTCAGGACACTGGTACCCACCACCTGAGACTCAGACGCAAATATCCGTTCTCATCTTCCTGACCCCCACCTCGCTCTACCCCAAGATGGGACTCTGACACGGTGTTGCTACAGTGCCAGCCTTGCCAGGACCCCAGAGCCCTGTCCTTGCTCTGCAGAGTCCGCTCGGAGATTGTTGATACCAAAACTCTCGCCACCGCCCCACCCAGCCCCCAATGCTTGCCCACTCTTTCTTGCCTCTCCTTCCTTTTCAGGAAGGCATGCTTCTTTCTCACCTCCCCTGTTTGCCAGATGTGTAGAGTTAAATATTTGACCTCATAAAAAAAAATAAAAATAATATTAACATTTCTTAAACAGCTTTGCATGTAAAAATAAAGGGGAAGTTTACTCCAGGCTAGCAAAAGCAAAGGCTAAGACTTGGAATCAGGGACAATTTGTATTTGTCTGAGGTCTATATGTAAGTCCAGTTAGCTGGAGCAGTGAAAGAAAAATATTTGGTTAGAGACACACACTTTGATAAAGTCATAGAAGACATTGGGGGAAGGTAGTAAGTATGATTTTGTCCTAAGGACCATGGGTTTAGGAGGAGGGAAAACTGATGGGGTTGATATTTTCAAACAGATCTCCCTGCTGGTTGTGTGGAGATGGCACTGTCCACAGACAGAATTAAGACAAATGAGGGAAGCTCAATGATGTACTTCAGGCAAGAGATAAAGATGGTTGGATCTTAGGGGGAAATAATGGATATGAATGAAGATGAACCTGAGTTTAGGGCATTCTTGGAAGGTGGGTGTCTTGTTAGTGTAGCAGATACCAGCATCAGCAAAGCAGATGAGTCCTAGGGTCTTAACTTGTTGGATTAGAAACTGTATTGGGGTGGGGATGCCAATAGAGGAAATATTTGGAGAAATTAGAAGTTTTGTTTTGATCATGTTTCCTTAATTACATACATTATATATTTGTTTCACCTGTATAATTTGAAAACATGAGACTGGAACTCAGTGGAAAAGTAGAACATTTGAAGCTGGAGAAAGAAAACTCATGAACATAGAAGCTCACACATACTATGTGTATGGTGCTTAAAGCCAGGGCTATGTGAGGTCACTTATGCAGAAAGTATGGAGAAGGAGGCTGAAGATGGAACCTGCAGGGCACCAGGGTGAAGGAAAGGGTAAGAGGAGGAGAAGAAGCCTGAAAGGGAACAATTGTTGAGGTAGGACATTTACAAGCAGCAGGGACAATGAGGTGAGAATTTCAGAAGGTGGGATTCATTAACCGTGTTGGCTGCTGCTGAGAAGCTACATGAGGGATATCCCATCACTGGGTTGGAGAGAAGAGACTTGAGTGCTTAAGGTAAAAGTCTGAACTGATTCGGAGGATGACAGGAGACATGGATGGTGGAGATGGGAAAGGAGAAACCATTTCGTGGATAGTAAGTTGTGAGTAAAGCAGGCAAGTGGGAATGCTAGAAAGAGTTTTACCTTTTTTTTTTTAAGAAAAAAATTTAAAAAAAATGTTCTTAATTTTTAAGAAAATATAGGGAAAATGTTTCAGCAGTAAAGTGGTCTTCAGGGATATCTGTAGGAATGGACTCTAGTGCTGGTGGAGGGTGACGGGCACTTACGCATGTGGTCCATGATAGCACCAGGGTGGGCGGTGGAGGGGTCAGGGCGCTGGAACTGGGACCCGAGAAGATCACTCCTCTCTCTTCTGCTCTGTCAGTGAGGTACAAAGCAAGTCTCAGCAGAGGCGGGGGAGGGTGGGAAGGGGATATCGTTGATGCTTGAGGAAAAAGAAGTGCTGAAATAGAATTCTCAGACTTTGACAAAGTCTCCTAGAAGTATGAGAAAATGCAGAGGAACTCTTTCTAACTTGGGTTCTTACAGGGAATCCGAAATAGGATTCATGTGTTTCTGTAGATTTTACTTTACCTAAACTAGTACAAGTGAAGATTAAGTGCACAATTAAAATAGTTAATTACAATATGTTATAATATTTTTTTTTAATTATCATATTCCAAAAGTAGTTAATCAAAGGGAAAGAAGCAAGGAAGTTAGGGTATGTACAAGTCAGGAATCTTCTGAGAAACTGAATGAGTATGTTTGCATGTGTATAAATATATATATATATATATATATATATATATATATAGAGAGAGAGAGAGAGAGAGAGAGAGATTCAGGTTAACTTTATAAAGAACAGGCAGAATTCATTGACTCGACTATGGAGCTTAAGAAGTCCCAAGATGAGTAGATGGCAAGCTGGTAACCCAGATGGGAGAGCTGATGGTGCAAGTTCCTATCCAAGTCTGAAGGTAGGAGACAGATGTCCCAGCTCAGAGAGGAAGAGGCAAGACCGGAATCCTCTGACTCAGGCTTCGGTTGTATTCAGCTCCTCGCTGTGCTAGATGAGGCCAATGCACACTGAGGAGTGCCATCTGCCTCACTCAGTCTACACACTCAGATACTAATCTCACTGAGAAACATCCTCACAGACACACCCAGGAAAAAAAAAGTTTAACCAAGTATCTGGGTACCTCATGGCCCAGTCAGGTTGACACATAAAATGAGTGTTTTTAAAGGAATGGTTTTCATTTGAATGATGGAATCACAGCTGGTTAAGAAAGAAATTGATGTGGGAGACAGGTAATAAAAACTCTGGGAAGAACAGAACTATTGAGGAGTCTGGATGAATACTTGTCCCATAAAAGTAACTGAAATAAACTGGAAGGACAGAATAGAAAAATACATTTTTTTTTTTAAAATTTGTGATTTGAGAAGTTTAATGAGAGTCAGGGATGGGAGAATGGACTAAGAGGACCAGACATCTACCCGCGTTCTAAAGGAGTACTGGGATATTAAAATCAATATAAATCGTGACCAGAACAGATGAAGAATGAAGATTATGGGGTAGGATTCAGAATTTTAGTGAATGAAGGGAAGGTAGTAGAAAACTAGGAGTGACAATAATAATAAGAGAAAGCCCGTGATTCCTAAGATCGTGAGCTTCAAGGTGAGAGGGCGTTTGTGAAGGCCCAGAGGGAAGAGTTTGGAAGCATGAGAAGGGCACTTGTTCTGCCTCCATCTGCTGGGTTCCTGGAGACTGGAGAAAGGGCACTCTCCTTCGGGGTGAGAAGCAGAGCAGTGTCCGTGGTCGCCGAGGGGAGGAACTCACTGAGGACATCTCGGGAGTTCAGCTTGTGATTTTCTAAGGACTCACTGTGAGTTCCCGGGGCAGATTCTAAGTGGAAAGACAAGATGGGGAATGCGCCGGACCTGTGAGCCTGGTGGGGCCGTTTACAGCAGGGCAGCGTGGTGTGTCGTCAAGTTCCAGGACAGAATGTTCCTCTGGTAGAGACGGACAAGTTTTACGGAGAGCATGCCCTGCCGACAGAGAAGAGGGGGCTTCTGCTTGTGCAACACAGAGGCCTGGCATTACAGGACCTGGAGAGACAAGACTCCCTGGTGTAGCACTGAGATTCCTGAAACGGATTCACGAGAACTTAATAAATGATAACGGCAGCATTTAAAATCTGTGTGACAATAGTGAGTTGCTTGTAAAAACTGACACACTCAGATATCCAAGTAGGAAACGGATGACAGCTCTCCATCTCATGCAAAAACACAAATGTAAAGATCAAAACTATTTTAGCTGAAAATTAGAAGAAACTGCCCACCCCCAGAATAATTTAAAGTTTAATTACACACACGATAAATACATTTTGACACTGTACACTTCACAGATAGAGTTAAAATCAAGCCCTCTCCAAACCTCCTCCTTTTGCATCCTCAAGGAGGCCGAACACCTAGAAGCCTTCAAACAAAAGTTTGTGATCGCTGATGTTTTAAAAACCTACCCTAAAATAAAGTAAAAATTTCTAGGGCAAGTGAAACTTTGTTTTGTTGTGTTGGTTGCTCAGTCATGCCCGACCCTTTGTGACCCTGTGAAGTGTGGACTATAGTCCGCCAGGCTCCTCTGTCCTTGGGATTCTCCAGGCAAGAACACTGGAGTGGGTTGCCATGTTCTTCCACGGGGGTCTTCCTGACACAGGGACAGAACCCAGGTCTCCCGCATCTCCTGCACTGCACGCAAGTTTTCTACTGCTCAGCCACCAGGGAAGACCTGTAATATATAGCAGCTGACAAATTATTATTCCACAAGGATAAGGAACCACTAAATAGACATGGGTTTAAAAAAAAAGAGAGGAAGAGAAATGGTAATTACTGAAAAGTAACTACATAATTCATACAAGAAATAATTCCAATTACTAATAAATATATATAAAAGTTTTAAAATATGTTCTAGTTACTTGAAGAAATGTATTCATCTCCGTGTCTGTATCTACATCCAAAGGAGGTATTTATACCCATCATTGCCAAAAATAAAGTATGCTAATATCCATCTTTAGACATATTGTAGGATAAATAATCTTATGTTA